GATGCTTCTCCGGCCTTGTCGGAGTTTGCAAAATCAGCGGCGGGGAACTCAAATTGGTCAACGAAAAGACCACCAACAACAAGAACTACTACTACTACTACTACTACCACTACTATTACTACTACCACTACTACTACTACCACTACTACTACTACTACTACTACTGCTACTGCTACTACTACTACTACTACTACTACTACTACTTCCACTACCACCACTATTACCACTGCTACCGCTGCTGCTGCTGCTGCTGCTACTACTACTACTACTACTACTACTATATCTCTGAATCCCGGCAGTTTGTTGGGGAAAGAACGGATTTCGGCCGCAGTCCTGAATCCCGCCAGTACATTAGTGCAAGCGTCTCGGCCGAGGGCTTGCAAAAAGTTTTATAGGAATGCTTTGGAGGGATCTATAGAAGTAGGGTTTATGAAGGGGTGTATACACGGGTCTGTAGAAGAGTTTATGAATTATGCATGAATGGATGGATGGATGAAATGATGTTCGATCTCATTTCGCTGCTCTCTCCGCTTTCAGGACTCTTGTTCTCTAGTTTGGTCCTCCACCGCCTCACGTGCGACAGCGGCAGTCCAGTCAAGCGAGGCTCTCGACAGCTTTTCGAGACGTGGCTGAGTGCAGCGGCAAACTTGCCTCGTAGAAGGATGCTCGGCTGGATGAGATGATGGACGTGGTACTGTGCTGGAGTTTGCTTCGTTTGCATCTATGAGTGTTCGTGCTGCTTTCGGTGTAGCCATGCTCAGGGCATGTCAGTCACAAGGTAAGGTTGTGGACCACGTGGCCCGGTGAGCAGGGAGTGCTGTCACAGCTACTGGCTCCTGGAAGTTATCCAGAGGCGTCTTCTGGCATTTCCTTACCTTTCAAGAGCTCCTCGACTGCGAGATTTCTGCTTAGCCTGGCATGTCAATTCGCGCCAAAGCCCTGTACTAAACGTATACTGCGCCGGGCCAGGTCTTGTTGATTTTCTGCTGGTGCTTCTAGGCTTCTAGAAGCTGCCCGTCGATACCGCGTCGCTTATGCATCGACAGACTCTGTGAGGTTCAGCCGTTGCAGTGGTCAACATGACCGCCACCTGGCTTGAGTTCTCTGGATACCCTGGCCCTGTCACTGGCATAATTGGCAACGTCGAACGTAGGCAGTGCTTGTTTTGAAGTCGGTGAAAGCAAACCGATGAGGAGATCAACAGCCCATGGGGGCACTACATACACCATGCTTGGGGAACGGAGGCTGGGAAATTTGCCTGTCCCCGGAAATGGCTTTAGCAGATTGACTCACAGTCTTGGAGGTTCCATGCAATTGTGGTATCCGGTGATCGAAGAGACCCGTGCAGGCCACAGATCACGTTCTGCGTCGCCGAGCGACCTGGCGAAAGCATTCCCCAAATTTCGTGGGTGGAGCGATGCCGTACGAGCTCTGGACTTCCCAATTTCTCCCATCAGGCGATGGTGGACAGCTTGTTGCGTTTGGGAGCTGCTGACCCGCACGTCTTTGGACAGCTCGGGGCCAAGCCACAGACTAGAGTTGACTGAAGGTTAAGTAGCCGTAGTACTGCAAACCATCGTTATGCCTCTGCCGTGGCTAGCGGCCTCTAGAAGGCATGGTGTGCAATACATCACAATACACCATGCTCGGCACCTAGGCTTTCCCGTGGCATCCTCCGGCACGCTACCAGGTGGCCACGCCCAGTGCCCCAGAAAGCCGTGAGGTACCAATCTAAAGTTTAGCGGAGTCTAGCGTGCTCTTATTGGGACAACTCTGCCACTCTACTACAGAACTTCCCACCCAGCCTCACTCCAGAAGGCTGCCCTGCAGGCATCGAGCACATGGTTTTGTCGATAAAGGTTCCCTCAAACAGAGCCGCACATCTCGTCCGCCTGCCAAGAAATCTACTTCTAGGTTTGCCCATGATCGCTGGGGGCTCTTCCGAGTGCTCGTGAATGCGACATCCAAGGCCCGAACTGGGGCGAACTCATGGAGTCGTTGATTTCTGCAACGAAAACAATGCGCAGTGGATGACCTACCGGCAATGCCGCGATCCCTTGTTCTGCATGCCACACAGATCCACGCCTCCCGAAGCACTTCCCCCGGTGTCGGCGCAGGCTTGCAGAGCAAAGCTAAAGCTTTCAGGGAGAGTACACAAGCAAAGTTTTACCCATGGGGCGGTCGGTGGTTCGTTGTAGCCGCAAGAGCAGTTCCCTGCTGCTTTATGGTACGGGCTTCGCCAACGCGTCGACAAAACTATTATTGCAAGAGCCACTTGTGGCTTTGTGCGGATTTGCATCGTTACCCTCCCAAAGGGACAAAATTAAGCCGTAATTTACACAATTTCAGTCACATTGCCGCCATGAGCGCAGCCCCGGCAGTCGCAGAGGCTGGCTCTTGTCGAAAAGCTGACAGCTTGCGGGGCTTAGGAGTGATTTCAACTGGCAGCTCCGGTGTATCACGGACCCGTCGTCCGCAATTGAAAGGAAAGGCGGCAGCTTTGCATTCGTCTACTCCGTGCTGTCAGGGACTCAGCGAGATCCAGTGAGCCAGTAGGGTCAGAAGGGTTCAGGGTTCCGAGGAGTTTGAATCTTCAAGGTGACCTCATAGTTAGGCGACCCTATGACAGCACAACAGATCTTGAAAAGGGCTCGGATAAGGAGGGCAAAGCATTAGGCCATGTTTGCTGTTCTTTTTGAAGAGAGCACATTCCGCTTTGGGAGGTCGAGAAGTGCCCTGCGCTCCTTGCCAAAGGCGAACCCTGCCCATGGGGGAATCTCATGCCTTGTCACTGCAGTGCAATGGCAAGCTCGATCCGGAGGGTCCAAGCGACCGTTGCACCCAGTGCTGCTGAGCAGGCCGAAGAGTTGGAGCTCCACAAGCCGCGCAGGCAAAGCTCGGGGGGGGAGAGCATGCATCTATGTAAACCATGGCGGTCAAGCAGAAAAGGGCACAAGCTCCCTGTCGTTTTCCATGAGCGGAGAAACTTCCGGAACAATCAACGAGCACCGTACACCCAATCAAATCGCGGAGAATGTGCAATCGACGTTCATGGGGCCATGCCGAGGCAAGAGGCCTGCCGCGATGCTGGCCCAAGTGGGGGCATCGATGTAACATGTGTCTAAGGTATCATTCACGGGCAGAACGTATCACTAAGCACCCGCAGTCTCATATCTTGCGATGTCCACAGCCAGCAACTCACAGCTCTATGCCTCCCAGCAAGAAGATCCGCTGCTCGCAAGGAGACTCCGTGCATAGCATGGCCGAGCGTCGCAAGCGTTTGTTGCTGTCGCTCTTCATTGCAGCCGCATGTTGGGCAGGGCAGACCGGTGACAGCACGGTGTTTGTACTGGCGCGAGGGGAAAGTGGAGCCAGGCCCACGAGCGTCTCACACTCACGAGTGCAGCTTGCAGGGATTTCGTCCGGGGTCTCTGTGGAGAACATGGAGAAGCACCCCAGGCTGCCAGTGTGGCCTGCCTGGTTCGGTATCGTGTACATTTTGCTAGACCTTTTGCTTGGCAAACCAAGCGTAGGGGCATGGCTCGAAGATCGATTTGGAGGCCGTGTTTGCCCCATGATCTTTCGCGACACCGCAGCATCCGACCCGTTCCTGCTGGTCGCGCACCATCGCCACTCCTTCAACGCCTTCGATCCGTTCCGTTACCTGTTCCGGTTCTTGTTGCCGGAAGGCTTCCCAGCCCACCCACATCGGGGCTTCGAGACCGTCACCTATGTCCTTCGAGGCGGACTTGTGCATCGTGACTCTTTGGGTGTCAAGAAGTCGTATGGCGCACCAAAAGATTCCAGTGGAAGCGGCGCAGATGCCGCAGTACAGTGGATGACTGCTGGAAGTGGAATGTTGCATGAGGAAATGTGGCGAACAGGTGAAGCTTTGGAGAGCTCTGACCAGGAGCTCTTTCAAATCTGGGTCAACCTTCCCAAAGCAGATAAGTACACCAACCCTCGAATGCAGATGCTTGGAAGTTCCGACACCGCCGAGAGCTTTTCCGCTTCAAAGCTTGGAGGAATGCTGACTGAAGTTCACGAGCGTGGACCGGTGCCTACGGTGGAGCCCGGTCCAGGAGTATCGGTACGCATCGTTGCAGGTGAAGCCGATGGTGTCCGCAGCCCGATTGAGACTTTCTCGGATATGGCTATCCTTCACGTCACCTTGCAACCTGGAGCAGCTTCTCAGCTTGCATTCGGGCGCCCCAGGTAATTAAAGCGGGTAATCGGCTGTTTTTGCAGGTGTGGACCTGGCCCAAGCCGGCCACATGGAGCTGCTTGCTGTACATGCGCAAGGGCGAGGCCGTTCTGGGCGACGAGACGCTTCCCGTCCATCACACGGCGACCCTCACCCGTGCAGAGTCTCAGCAACACCGGGGCAGAGACGCACGATGATGCGCCTAGTAGGTAGTGCGAAGGAATGCCGGTGTGGGCGGGTGGTCCCAGAACAAGCCAAGAAGGAGGATTCAACGGTGCAGGATTGTCCAGGATCAGGGTATCCACCAGACTCCCAGGTCAAGGCAGTGAAGGAACCAACAGTACTATACCAGAGCCTGAAACTCGCACGGAGCAATTGAACTGGACGGGCTGACGGCTTGAATCAGATGCTGTAAAGTCTGAGACATCCCTATCCAAGGAGATTGATGAGGAGCTCAAGCTGGCAGCAAGCCAGAAAGAGGCTGCAGAAGTCCTTATCCTGGCCGGCGCGCCTCTGCGGGAGCCAGTAGCCATGGGCTCGAACATCATCATGACACTTGGCCTCGTCTGGTCCAGTCACTAGTCACAAGAGCTTCAGGCCTAACTGTCTTTTGTCCCAACTGCCGAACAGTTCCAGGAACTCGGATGCAGAGCTGGCCCTAGCCAATCGAGATTTGCGACGAGGCTATTTCGGGCCGAGTTGGGACCACACCGATGACGATGCCACTTGGTTGTCCACCGTTACGAACCACTGGGGCAAAATGGCAGATGCTTTGAGGCGCTGAGATGCTGCCAATGTATATAGATTATCAAAAGCTGCCTGGCACTCCGTCTCTTGTTTCTGCACATTGGGAACAATCACAATGACACCGACAGCCTTGGCCAGCCTCAGTCAGGCTAGCAAAGCCCATCCTGAAAAAGCGTGTGGGTTTTGTCCCAAGCTCCCACTCCCAATGGCTTGCTTAGTCTCATAAATCTAGTAGAATCTAGTCAGTGGCCGCAGTTCGGCCTTCGAGTTGCCGCTGGAATGCAGGACGCGCTGCGCGACCGGGCGGCAACAGCCCGCACTCTCCTGGCAGGGTGGGGGGCCCTTCAGCCCAAGCTCTAGAGCAGCTTCCTTGTCTCAGACTGTCACATGTCTTATTGTGTGGCGAGCTCTCCGTGCGCTGGGGTTGAATCGCCGCACTTCATGTAGCAGCTTCTTAGGTGCTCGAAGAAACACAGCAGCCAGACTAGTGGTACAAGGGTTTATACTTGGCAGAGATTAATACCAGTACGGCTGCAAATAATTAAATATTCTGCTCGTGTGCAGACGCTCCACTGCGGAAGAACTGCGAGCAGCCATCGATGCAGTCGAGGCACGATGTCATGCCGGCATTCCAACCTGCTGCGATGTTTTGCTAGGTCAAAACGGCGTGGGTATGCTGGGGTTAGCCCAAGCCGGGGTTGTTTGCACCCTAAAAGGTCATAAGCAAGACCGAGCAAGTAGCGAGGAAAGTCTGTTTGTTCTGTTACCAGGAAGCATCGCACTGGATCCTTGATCCCGGGTCCTACAAAGAGCAGGCGGTCAGCATGTTTCGTCAAATGAGGGCGTGGTGTCTGCAATGCAAATAGTGCACATGGCTTCGTCTGGATGGGTCACAGAAACACGGAAGTTGCTCCGGTCGAGACCGGCCCAGCCACACGTTGAATAGCATCCACACGACTGCCGCTGTCACTTGTTGCTCGGACATGGCGAGGGTGAGAGTAATTCACAGGAGACACGAACATTCTCGTTCTTTTCGGGAAGCTTGACGGGAATTCAAGACATCCCACCCAGCCTAAATCGACAGCGGCGGTTGGCTGAGCAGCCCTGGTGTAGTGAAACTGGCCACATTACAAGCGGGGCTTCAATCAGCTTTTAGTGATTTCCGCAGCAGTTTTGCCAAAAGCTGCAATGGCAGTGCCGCGGAAACGGCGTTGTAGCTCCTTGGAGCTGGGCGAGGCCGGTGAGATCCACTCACGCCGAGCAGGACAGATCCGCCGCCGCCGCCGTTTTCCTTTGCTATTTCTCTGCCAGGCAGTCTCGAAGAGATTTCGCCGTGCCCATCAGCTGCTGCAAGCGGCCATTGAGCCGCCCCCGCCACGAGGGGAGGAAGAGGAGGAAGGCTCTCAGATCGGTCGGGCTTCAGACCTTACGGATCCTTACGGTTTTCTGTCACCTTGAACCACATCCGTGTCGAGTTTCGGCCAGCCAAGAAATCAGCAACGGATGAATTCAACATTTTTCTCTTATGAGACACATGAGACGCATCATGAGATTGAGCACTGCAGCAGATGTCTCCAACTAACCTGTCCGCGGTGTAGAAGCAGCAGCAAGAGCACAACCCGGGTGGCAACGGAGACCCTCGTTCTGACAGGTGCGATGCTGGAGGCGCTACCTGCAAAATGGCCTGGCTGTGCCGCGCGGCTTCTGTCCCTGCGCGCGGCATCCAGGAGATTTGGCTCACAAGGGCACTGCAAAAGTTGCCGCAGCCGATGCAAGGAAGTGCTCGTTTGATGATGTTTGCAATGGCTCACGGCAGGACTCTAGCGCCCAGTCAGGACATTCCTCCTGGGACAATAGCAGGAGCTTTGATGCAGCATCTCTGCAGCTATCTGGGATGTTGTGCACCCGCGGTCCAAGACATGCACCAAGGCAGCCGCTTGCTCCAAGCCCGACGCAGTCTCTTCGAATTCCGCCACCTGGCACTCTGCAGTGGGACATCCCCTACTCCAAGCGAGCAGCTTCTGCTTATGGCAAGGACCGCCTGAAACCAGACCAGATTTTTCAAAGGTTAAGTGGCAGTGCCTCATGTGAGCTTGCTGATTCCCGCTGTCCTTTCTCGCTCTGGTGCGCTGGTTCCATACTTGATTTGCCGTGAGGACGTGCGAGACGGCTGGCTAAGATCTCGACCTCGATACCTGGGATATGCCGAGTATGCAAGCTTCATGTCTGAGAATTGCGTCCAGGGGCCTGATGAATACGGCTGCTGCTGTTGATGTAGTATAGAGAGATCCATACATGCACAATCATGCGCATTTGTGTGGTTGTGGCTCGGCACACGGTCTACACCAGGGCTAGGCTTCTGAAGTGTTTGTGTGTGTGTGTGCGTGCAAGACATCGCAAGACGAAGCCGCAAGGCTTTTCTGTATAGTGGGAAGGCCAATAGTACCACTGTCCCAAGGCTGGCTGTCTTCCGCAGTGCCAGATGCCGAACTTCGGCCACCCTCGCAGAAGGAGGAGAACCGTGCACTGGCGGTGGCTCAATTGCTGATCACCTGATATGTTGTATCCGCAAGACTGCAGACATGCAGAACATCAAGCAGCAGGCCCGCATCTCGTCCCGGGCTGCAGGAGGCGGAGGCATCAGGCCTGGAACTCCTGCGACTCCTAGCAGCGCTGTGGCTCGGCATTTCCTCTTGGCAAAACCCAACGCAATGTCGCTAGGCTTACAGCCCTGTGTTGTCTTGCTTAGCTGCCTTCCTGTTTACACCCTTGGCCCTTGGCTGCGTATGCCCTCCAGACCTTCGACACCAGACATGGGCTTCAGGGACTGAGGGGAAGCTCTGTTCAACCTTATTAGAATCGGCTGCTCGCGATAGAAACTGGAGTCGGAAAAGGTTGACACACTAAAGCCTCTAAAGCAGGGAAGCCGAAACACACAGAAGCCGAAAGGCTGCGAAGTGAAAACACACCGAGCAACCTAAAGCCCACAAGACGCCAGAGTCACCGCAGCCAAAAGCAAGTTGAGGCACCCGAGAATACATAGAAGCTGCCATAAGATGCCTGCGGTTGATATACACAGCATAGCCCTCAGAAGAGTCTACGGAACAAGAGATGTGATGCTGATAGCGCCTTAGAAGTGACACTACGGAGCTACCTTCGTAATCGAATGCTTTCCGACTCGGCGATGCTCTCAATGACCCTCTGTGCTTTGCTGCTCGAAAGACTGCAGGGTCTTCTGACTCAGCTCCCACCCGTGTCAGTTCGAAATCGAATTCAGTCCTCGGTCTCGTTAAATTTGTTCTGCGTGCGCTTTTGGCCAAAGTGAGACTAGTGGGCATGGAGCAGCTCTCAGCATGTGGAATGCAAATCGATGCAGTCTCTATTCGCAAAAAATCCTGTAAGTATGCTTCTTGGAGTGCAGACTGCAGAACTGAAGGAAGATGCCAAAGAAGAAGCGTCGCGTGCCGCCAATCACACCAGAGGAGGAGAAGTTGGCGGAGGACGCCTTGTTTGGACAGGGCAGTGGGGATGAGGCCAGGTGGGTTGGCGAGAGTCACGGCAAAGCCGTGGAAATCTGCACTCTGCACGAAGGTCGTCGCCTCACGCTTCAGTGTGGAGGTGACCCGAAGGCCGTCGGTCGACTCATTCTGTCTTTCTGAGTGTCAAATCAGAGAGGGAGAGGGCGTCATATGTTGTCTGGGCTTGTTTGGGATGCAGTAAGTTATCCCCCCTGTCTCTTTCTTTCCTGTAACCTGCACTGTCGGGGATCGTAGACAGACGACCCTGACACGACTTTCAATCCTTTCACTCCTTCCACTCCGGGGGCGTACGCTCTTTTTCAGTCCACAACTTGTAACTTGCCTCCTTTTGACCTTTTGGTTTCGTTGAGAAACGCCCCTCTTTCCGAAGAGCTTCCTGTGCTGTCCGTCCCGGCGCGTCGTGAGACACCTGGGGGACGCCCTTCATGTGCTTGTACATGTTAAAGGGACGTGTATGTGTTTGTTGATGTTCGGGGACTTGTCCACAGCAGCGAGCCTCCCATCCATTTCTGAATTTCAGTTAATTCGGCGGACCACGGTGTAGCGCGAAAGGCGCAGGAGTGGAAGGCTCTGACCCGACACTCCAGATGCCAAGCAAGGAAACAAGCAAGCAGGGAGAGCGAGGCATTGGAAAGACTGTGCAAAAAGCGCCCTGGCGACTTTTTGAGGCGGGGGAGGCTCGGGAGGTACAGACGGCAGTCAGCAGATGGGCAAACAACAAAAAAGTTGTGGACCAGATGGGATCTTGCACGAGGCAGTGAGAGCCATGCCACAACACCCACAATGGGAACGGATTATCCTGCACGAGCTCAACGACATTCTCTAGAAAGGAGCAATCTATACAGGGGCGGGCAAGGGACTCACGGCGCTCCGACCAAAAATTTCGGAGCCCCAAAATCGCATTGAGCTCTACCATCCTCAAACTATTGGCTCAACTCCTGCTAGGGCGAGCCGGTGACCAAATACAGCAAGGGGGGAAATTACAGTGGTCGCGATCAGCGATCAGGAAGACAGGGTATTGACCTACTGGCTACCCTCAGGAGAGGAGTCAGCATTTCTAAAGACTGGGGGGGTGGGGACATGGATCTGGACATCAAAAAAGTCTTTCGACTCAGTCAGCCAAACAAGCATGGCCAGCCGCATAGCCGACGAAGTGGCCGGGATCAAGCCGGGAGGACAAGTTGACCCCACAGGGCAACCATGGGAAGCGAGACTTTGGACAGCTCTCCTCCAAGCAATCTCAGTCTCAACATCGCAGCGGGGAGACTGACAGCTGCTTCACTGAGGTTGAACAGACCAATGGAGTTAGACAAAAGGCTCTCCCGACTCCCCAGTCGTCTTCGCTGCCCTTACGGCCCTTAAGCCCTGGACAAAGCACTCTGCAAGCATACAAGCTGGGGGAATCACGTGGCCCCCCCTCCCCCTGAACAAGGGGGAGCACACCTGCAAGCAACGCTTTCGGAACTCGAAACAGAGTTGTCCCGCCATGGATTAGTCAGTAACCCCGAAGAAACAGCCATCATTTACAGTCAAGCAACCGGGGGGCGAGCCTTCAGTATTGACGGCAAGCGCGTGGAATGGCTACCCTACGGAAGTGTCATCACAGTATTGGGGTCCCTCCTCACCTTTGGGGACGCAATACCAACAATGGTTGCGGAAATGCAAAGACGGGGGCAGGGCCGTTGGGACCCTGGAATAGTTTCGAAGGTTTTCTGAAGCTTTCTTGAAGCGCATTTGTACTTATGTCGTGTTATGACTATTCCAAGGAACCTGCACGAGTTCGCATGTGTCTCAGGCAACTAGAGTGCCTGCGGCCGGGAGAGTGGCTGAATGACGAAGTCATCAACTTCTACTACAAGTTGCTGCAGGCAGGGTGACCTCGGAACATTTCGGAATGCAATGGCTGCTACAGGGGCGTCGTGTGCAGGGGACCATGCAGAAGGAATGTGGAGTTTGAGCGTGAAGTCTGGACCTGGAGCTTGCATACCAAAATTCCGAAAGGAACGGAGCAAAACAGTGGCATCATCGCCAAAGAGCTGGTTCACCAACTCGTTCTTCTGGCCCAAGCTCAGTGGCAACAACAAGGATTCATCGGGTGCTGCAGTTAAGCTCAACAACGCAGCTAAGTCAGAGCGTTTCATGCTCTAGCCTGAATCGCCCTGGAGGAATACAACTACAAAGAAGTGAGGAGGTGGACAATAAAGGCAAAGGTGGACATCTTCGAAATGGATTATGTCATATTCCCGATGAACATTGCCGACACTCATTGGTCGATGGGGGCTGTCGACATGAGGGAAAAAGGTTTTCGCTACTTCGACTCGATGTTCAGTGCCTGCATTGCATTGGCCGATGTTCTAGGATGACGTGCCTTATGCCGCTATCGCATCTCGCTGGTTACCGCGCGTGCTGAGGCAATCCGCCGTCCAACTTCGTGGCTTTCCTCCGCCGCTATCTGGCTGACGAGCACAAGGACTTGAAGCTTTCGCTGTGCGACGTAACGTGTACTTCGGCACAGTTGTCACATAGCGCATCCGTCGGAGCGTATTGGTGACTTAAAGACCTTGCATGCAAGCCTTTACTACGAGTATAGGTGGTTTTGGGATGTCATATTTCATCAACTCATCAACACTGCTGCACCCTTGCAGGCCAAGAAGAGCAAAGATCTCCAAGGTGCTGACAACGAGACACCTTTGCGCTATGTTGAGCTTATTCCACCATGCTGCTGCTTGCAACACGATGCGTGTTGTGAAGCAATGCAGGTGTGGACGACTGGAAGCTTTTGATCCCGGAGCCTCCGGTGCCACAACAGCGTAATGGGCGCCTTGGCGACTATCATGTCACTATAGTTCGCGGCAGGGGTTCGGGAGGGTTCTGAGCGGCTGACAGGCAGCAGCGCCATTTAATGCCCCTGGCACAGCCAGGTACGACTGTGGCGTTTTCACCTGCTTCTTTGCAGACTGCTTGTCTGCAGGGAAGTCGTTGGGATTCGACCAGGCTTGTCTCACTGCGTTGTCGTGCTGCGCTGGGGGCGTTTTGAGCCCGCGAGGAAGACATGCCGACCCTGCGGAAGAGGCCGCCACAAGTGACTGGATTGTCTCCTAAACCGGCTCCCGGGCCTCCCTGCTACGACACCTACAGTACCCACCATGCCGCAATGCCTGACAGGATCGCTGCGCGCATCATGAAGGCAGATGAGAAGTTCGACCCGATTCTGTAGCATGCCGGCCATCGGCGAAATAGGAGCTTGAGATGCATCCTACGCATTTAGGCCTTACCACGTGGCTATGTTGATGCGCAAGCTGGGATCAACTGCGTGCCGCAGATAAAACAAACTCTTTGCACTTTGCACCAGCTTTCGCGCTCACTACACTACTGCCCACTTGGAATCTGCAAATCCTGGAAAGCAGGTGGATCCCGACGTATTGGCTGAAAAGCTGCAGCGCTTGGAGGCAAGATGCTTTCTCGTGAAGTCCGCTCCGCCTGAGTTCAGCATGCATTCGGATGAACATGTGAGGATGTGCAATGAGCCGATGACTGCACATTGCAGAACGTACCTCATCTTCGTGTGCGAAGTTTCCACGAACTAAACACCATGTGAAGGATTACAGCCACCTACAGTTGCTCATGCAGTTAGCAGTGTCTAATAACCGTCGGTGAGAAAGGGGATCCCCCGAAATTGGTTGACCAACAAGGATCGCAATCGTTGCATCCGAAACTTTCGGGGATGGCTGCCATCAGATGCAAGCTGCAGACCTCTCACCATGCGGCTGGTCAGCCCTGTAGATAGCGGAGACTTTTGGGGACCTTCGTACAGCTTCGCGTGCATTTGACTAAACCGCAGGCACTGGTGCACAATGCTCCCGAGGTTGCAGGTGAATGCCTCAGTTTTCGTGGAATGTTGCGAGTCCAGTCGAGTAGATGTCAAACCTGAAACGCGTCGTCAGCATGAGGTAGGGTAGGTCACAGGACTTGTTTAGCATGTGCTGGCTGTCGACACAGTTGCATAGTAAAGACGTGCTGTACCAGCCCACCACCTTGTGTCTGAGGCTTGCGGAAGAAGGAAAAGAAGGTGCTTTGCAGAGAATTGGGTTGCTGCAGCTCGTTATCCCTTGCCGACCCGATAGACCAGGCCGAGGCGACTCAGCTTCGGATCGAGCTTAGCAGTCTTCGCCTTGGCAGCGTGGAACAAGCCGTCGATAGCTCCTAGCTCGTGCGAAAGATCTCAGGCCAGCTCATGGTGCCCAAGGATGGCTCTGAGAGGGCACCGCCCTTTTAGCGTCTTCAAGAACTCTCCATTTTTGATAGCTGCAGGGCACTCGCCAGCAGTCTCCGGGAGGTTTGCGAAGTGATGGATCGTTTCGGTCTCAGGGCCGGGTCTGCGTCAGCATGTCGAGGGTACGCGGCAAAGAGGCTGCGACTTCTGCACCGAATGAGCCAAGGCATGTGCAAGCAGTCCAGGCAAGTCCTTGCTCCGGCTCGACTCGAACGGGATGAGGCGTAAGTGCGCTTCCGAGTCAGGCAGAAGAGGGATCCCGAAGGCAGTCCGGCGCCGAGCCCTGGCTGGAGTCCTGCGGCGAGTCCCAACGAGAGTCCGGCGGTTAGCCGCCGTGGAAGTCTCGGAAGCGAGGAGGCTGGGAATGGCTGGGACTCGGCGGTGGCAATGCGGCCGATGGGCAGGCATGGCTCCTGTGCAGGACCCTGCGAAAGCGAACCAAGCCATCCGTCAAAGCACGACCGGCCTGGGAATCAGGCGATACCTGCGCGACCCTTAGCGAGATGGGCATTCTGGGTGCATTCCTTCGAGTCTTGTGCACATGAGTGATATGTCTTGCAGCCGCAGTCTGGTGAGGTCCAGCTTCCTGGCGCGCAGGCGGGAGAGCTTGGCAAGAGTGAACCTCTGTAAGCAGCTGTGGAAATCTCTGGCTTTTTGACAGAGCAGTTATTCCATGTTGGGCTGTTCAATTCGAGCCGATGTCCTTGAAGGAACTCCGAGTCGGCAACTTACTCTCTTCGAGCCGTTCGTGTGGCCCACGCTTCTGGCAGGCTACTTTAGACTGAAGAGTACTGGAAAGTTCTGTTTCCAATATCGAGGCCGATGCAAGAACCCTTCGTGCTCCAGGCCGGAGAACGACATGAGATAATAGTCGCTACTTTGGGCTGCTGAAATGGGCGACCAGTCACCGGAGAAGTGCATTGAGAGTCTTTGACATGCCATTCTCTGGTTGTGGCTCACGGTTCAGCAGCCAGAGGAGGCATGTGCCAGTCGAGTTTCTGCAACAAGAACAGCAATGTGCCTTCACCATGCTCAAACCTCGGATCTTTGCCCGTGCGTCTCATATGATTGTACGATTGCACGCATGAATCGCGCACAGAATTTAGCGTAGGATTCTTTGGGCTTCTGGGGCCAGTTTCATGAGGGTCTGGCAAGATCTGGGACTGCCATGCACCTGATCCCGGCCAGCGGCTTCCGCGCGATAGTGTGCTCTGTGCTGTTGGGAGTCGTCGGCTGGCAAACCTTAGCCGCAGCCTCAAGTGTCGTAGCAGCGAACCCGCGAAGTCTTGGCGCGGATGCTGAGCCAGTGTCTCCCAGAGCGCTCTCGGCACAGAGTCCGGCAGCGGACAGAGTGCCGTTCTACCTCACTTCTCGACACAGCTATCCTTACCCCGGCTGGTCCGCGTGGCACGGACATAAGCAGCTCCAGTCCGAGTCGCTCGCCGAATTGCATGATGTGGAGCAGAACCAGTCTACGTGGATCCTGCCGCGCAAGCTCACGACCTCTGTAAGGAATCACGACACCATCCTGCTGGAGGTGGAGGAACAGCAGTTCTTAGTGACTGTTTTGGGGCGATGGAGTCGATTCATTCAAGTCATGGACCTTTCCACGGGTCAACAGTGGTCGAAGCGGACCCGTGCCTCAGACCCACAAGGCGATCCACTTGACAACTTGAACCATGTTTACACCGTGCTTGTTGACAAGCTGGGTGGTGCTGGCAAGGAGGTGTGGCTTCCGTGCGGCTTTCGAGGCGAGATCCCAACAAAGCCCCTTCAGTTCAACAACCCATAGGCTAATAGGAGACTTACTGGACAGGATCAAACAGCTCTGAATCATTGAAGCCCTGGACGAGGCGACCAGGTCAACCGGGAGTATTCCATCAAGTATATGCGGATCTTGGACTTGGAGACCCTCGAACTGCGAACGGGCCCAAAGCTGCCCTTTGCCGGCGGAGCCTGTACTGCGGAAGCTCTGGAGATAATTCCGGATGAGCCGCCCATGATTTGCAGCTTCGGTGGAACGGATGGCCACCATAATTCAGGCATTTTCCAGCCATATGCTACGTGTTACGACCGCCTGCGGGAACGATTCTGGTTCCCTTTTGGTAAGATGCCCTACGGCATGGATCATGCTAGCATCGTGGTAACTCCAGCTGGGGCCTGTGGTGAGCAGAATCGGTCTGTGATCATTTTGAACTACCGCATAGTTCCTTATGGCAGCCAGCGTCCAGAAATGCTGGCTCACGATCTGCCAGAAGACGGGTGGACAGCAGAGGAGCTGTCTCAAATATCCATGGAGGACCCAGGAGAATGGTACATCTACCACAACGGTTCCTTCACGCCAGCTGATCCGTGCAATTCGCCTCGTGATGCGAGTGGGATGGCCACCGCCAATGGTGGCAGGTTGATGCTGAACTTCGGTGGCATATACTACACGCACGACAAAAACGGACACCCTGTCGGACACCGCTTCAGTGCCATCCGCAGTTTCGATATCTGCGACAAGAGCTGGGCAATCGAGGGAGACCTCGGAATGGATACTTTCGCATTGCAAACAGCGGCCAGCCAGAAGCTTCAAATTGCAGTAACCTGCGGGGGCGAGTCGGTGGAGAGGTTCTTGAATCGAAATGGAAATCAGCCGTGGTGCATTGTTCACCGTCCACGACACGACCTTGTTTTGGCCAATCGTCATGGCGAAGCCGCCACCCACGGATTTCCTTCAGGGTTCGTGCCGGGCAAGGTGCAGGCTGTCGGCAAGTCAAGCATTCTCGCCCCTGTCCCGACCACGACCACCACGACCACTACGACCGCTTCGACCACGACACCCGCGACCACGACCACGACCCCCACGACCTCGACGACAGCAGCAGATGGCAACACCACGACCACGGAGGACGCAGGCGACGACGCAGACGAGGTCGGGAAGCTGCCGAGCTCGGCCATCCCCGGCACTGTCTCTTCCGTGCTTGGACTCGCTGCGATTCAGCTTTTGCCTTTGCTCATATGGTGAACCCCACATTGCATGAAGTAGCCAGGCGTCTCAATCAGGCGAGCAGTGAGCTGCAACAGCTAAAATCGAAGGCCCAAAGGGCCCACAGCTACTGTCCTGCGCCGCTGAGGTCTGCCTCCCCCTGGTAATTAGGTGAGTAGGTGCAAGACTTGATGCTACTCCGACTGGCACTCTGCCACCAGTGCGCAATTAAGCTGATGACCCTGAGTATGTGATCAGTGGTGTGCTGTGATCCGTGAAGGATCTAAGTATGGCTGCTCCAACTGCGGGTCCTGATCAGACAGGGGAAAAAAGCTGATCCGAGGCTGAGAACGTAACGAACCGGTTTCGCACATGTTCGCTGAACTTCGGGCTTCCATCGTGGATGCTGGAGGTGGACACCGGAAGTCAGCTGCGGGAATGGGATGCTGGGTCCTTGATGAGTTGTGTCGGCAAGCATCCTGTGAACCAGTCAGAGCTGCATCTACTTTCGATCAAGACCTGTTGTTTGGAGAGACCCTGTGTTCGGGATCTACGGGAAACTGAGCATCGAGCAAAGTATTTCCAGACCTAGCCAAGTGCAGTGCTGAAGCGGCCGCTTGCACACGACTCCTGGCTGGCTTTCGTTGAGGCTACAGATTCCTTCATTAGCCCTCGCCGTGAGGCGCGGATAGAAGTGCGTCGGCTCAGCTTCATGGCGAACCTTTGCATGCCGCAGGGGGAGGGCAGTTCTGCCGTTGTCGTGTGACGATCGGAGTGTGCGGAGTCAAGGCAAATGCCCTCCAGCGCTTGTCTCGGGACGCACATACCCTGTCGCAAGCCACCGACCAAGCAGCTTGGCTGCACGAGGCTGCACGAAGCGCCCAGCGACCAGAAGTGCCCTTGCCCAGATGGCTTCGATGATCCACACGGAGACGTTCGATGCGCGGCTACCCAAAGATCCCAAAGAATCCCAAAGACGGAGACAGCTGCAAGAGTTAGCATAGATACTTATGGCTTTCCGTGCGTAGGTGGTCGAGGAACGCGTTCGGCAGACCGTGGAGGACCCTCAAGCCCAGTCCCTTGAGTTGAGCCTGGACCAACTGGAAAGATCATCTCGCTCTCTGTACGGCAACGCGTAAGCGTGATCAGAGAGTTTGGGTATTCGCAGCTTGCATGCGGCTACGATGCGTGCTGCTCCAGGACTCACAGGATGTGGTAGAGACCCTGAAAGACGTGGCGATAGGCAGTACGCGTGCGTCTTTTTGCGGTGGGTGGAGCAGCAGCGACTTGTTGTTTGCGGGTCTATTGTGGTCTTGTGCCCTGAGCTTGCGCAGAGTTGGGTGGGAAACTGTCCTCCCATGGTCGTCCTTGCAGGCAAATCTCGGTCACGCGTTCTGAGCTCAGCTGTCCCACATTGGGGGTAGAATAGATCATTACACCTCCGAGACTCAAAGCCGACTTGAGAATGTTAAGATCTTGTCATCTGATGCCTGGACTCACCCTTTTGCTTGCAAGATGAGCTGCCCCAGGTTCAGCGTGCAACGCTTGTGGTCGGCATTGCTGGAGCCCTCGGCTCAGCATTGAACACGCACGCAGCAAACGGGTGTAGAACAACTTGTAATGGAACAAGCTCCCATGACCCGCACAGCGCCATTTTTAGGTACATACTCTTGAAAGCTCCTTCCAAAATAACACCATATCCAGCAGCAAGCGAGCATTGCTCCCATGGCAGGCGACTGCCGGCGCTTTGCCTGGCACTTGGTTGTCACTTTGCTGGCACATCCGAAGCTTTTCGACATTGCAAGCCGTGACAGCAGCATCAACGCACGCACGAGAAGTGGAAAACACTTGCCGTTTCAGGATGTTACAGGGTTCACGATGTACAGTCTCGAGAGCTCGTGTTCAGACCATGGTGGTGTCGTCTCGGTGCACATTGCATCAGAACCTCAGAAACTCTGCTCAGAGAAGCATGTCATAGACAGCAGTACGGCTCAGCAGTTACACTTCCCAGGCCGACCTTCACAAAATCAAGATATGATTGCTGGTGAAACTTGTGTTGGAATTCGCTACTCAGCGATGCTTACCCAAGGCTGATGACACCACCTGAAGTTCCCAAATAATTTGAAGAAGCACGTACTATACGACCCCAATTGGCAGGCAAAGGCCAAAACCCGAGAGTAATGTTTGGTTCGCCACGGAGGTATTTCCCTGAAGACATGTTCTTGTCCATTTCCTGTCTGCCAATGCATGTGGGCGGGACACTTACACTCTGGGAGTTGTTTGGGCTGACACGCCCAGGGCCGGCCTCCCCTTGCTCGGCACCGTCGCAGTCGCTGCAGGGACGGCCAGTCTCACTGCCTCCCACTCAGCGAAGTTTTCCGATGTACGAGAATGGGATGTCTTGCTGATGCCGAGGCAACAGTTGTCAGTGCAAGATATCGACATGAGAGTTGTGCTACTGCCCCACTTCTGCTTGAGCCAAGCTAGTCACTCGTCAAGCCGCACCGATATCCGTCACAGAGCCGACGCATGCTCCTTGGAGTCAAGTCACATATTCGAAGGCTGTGACCGGCAAGATCGCACACGACCGCTTTGCACAGCGCGCTGCAGAGGTAGCTGGAGGCGAGAGTTGGTCAACTTCAATATATTGTAAGCATGCTGCTCGGCATGACATTGCATGAGCATGCTTTGTTGTCTTGTTTTACGCGCTCTAGTTATGCCGCCCGTTCCGAGACTAGCGTGCTCCAGGGGTGGTGATGTCATGTAATGTCGAGGCTGAATCCCACACATGGTTTTTTGTTCGCTGGTACTGGAATTTGTGGTGAACCATTTGCGGAATCAAAAAATGTGCAGTTGCGCTCCACCATGATCTGTAGGGCTTCCTTCCGGGATTGAAGATGATGAACATGTTGAAGAAATGGCGGTGGCTGGGTGCACCGTGAACAGGTGGCCGACAAGTTGCAAGGCGGAGCACCGTGTGATGTAAGGATCTTGTGACAGTCGCGACGATGTGCTAGCGATCGAATTGACCTCTCCTGTTGGCGCACCCTGTACAAAATCAGCAAATTGTTTGACAACGGCGCCCAGCTCGCCAAAGGCAACTTGGGCACCCTGGGCGCATTTATCTTGCGACTACTTGGGTCATCTTGGGTCACTCATTCCATCCCTGCAGACTCCCACTGTACAGCTTCAATTTACTGCCGGCATGCCGAAAAGGGCGTTTAACTGCTTGGGTGTTAAGTGCGACCAGCCTGTCTGTGAAAATTGATGTGATCATCAGTTTGTCACTGGGCACAACCAACGGTTGAAATTCTAATGTCTGTTCTGTACATTCAGGGTCATGCTGATGACTCAACTCACATCACGATGCGTGGGTTCCCGCAAGTGATGCCATGCATGCTGCGACATTAGATAATTCTCGTATCAGTGTCAGGTGACTGTCCTTTCTGACCACTTTGGCATCCGCCAGCACAAGTTTGTATGGATCGTACTGCACGACTCTTGCTGCTCCATGCTGTTTAGTTGATTACTTAGTCTTTTTCGCTTCCTCCATTTACTGATTGTGCTGCGGGGGTTCACATATTGCAGCCAAGATCCTGACAATGTCGGCCTGCAGCTGTATAGCTCATGAGTAGCATGCCCGAGCAGCCCAAAACAGAGCTGCAACAAATACCGCAGAATCCGGACGATTGTGTCGTCCAATTTGACTTCAAGCCACCTTAGTCTTCCGGCTGAGTAGTGCGCCTATATGTGCATGTTTTTCGAAGCACGCTAACGAACAGAAGCGGAACTATAGAGTGCCCAGAGCCGGCTCACCCATCACACCTACCTAAAGTCTCAGTGTTACGCTGCCGCCGAAGAAGAAACAGGGGGCGAGTTCACACGGCGCCAGTAGTGCGCTTCCAAGCCTTCGGCGGTGCTCTGAGTTGCAAAGCTCGCACGAGCACAGCTTCCAAGCATGCATGAAGTCAGCGTGTAGCGATTGATTTGCATGGTGCGGCTCCGAAGTACGTATTTGCATGTTGCTCAGAAGATTCGCTGTCGAGTGACGTGCCCGCACCATGTAAGGACCATGTCGGCGCAGAACCAAAGGTTTCCGTTTGGCAGACTTACAGGCCGAAGTGAGAAGGGGGAATCTCTTGGTTGAGAACTTTGATAAATCAGCAGGCAGACGACAAGCCTTGGCAGTTGATAGCAGGAACTCGAAACCTGGAACAGGCAGCATCGTAGCATCTATTGGCGGTGGAAAGCAGTGGTGCACAGAGTCAGCCAGTGGCAGGACTGGAGGAAGGGTTTGCTGCAAGCCGTAAGCTCAGAGCTCCTATCTTCAAGCTGCTCAGGGAGCATCGTAGACAAGACTTTTAGCCCAACTTTCACTTCGTCCGTCATGCTATGCTTGGCATCGTCTCAGGAGCGGTTTCTGGTGGAGAACCAGACACACAGCCAAAGCGCCCCAGGATTCGCAGCATGCGAGCATAGTCCTTTCGTTGCGGGATGAGAATCCAACGTTGAAGGTGCTAGCTGCTAGCATCATGAGTCAATGTTGCTTGTTCCAACAGCGCATGGTAATCGTATCCCCCTAACATTAAACCTGGGGCCCCCCCCAATAGATACTCGGAGAATGTTTTTATCATTAGGGGGGTACTTTTATCTCTACTGTCAGATTTGGGTGCAATTAGGGCCGCTGCGCACAGGCAGGCTCAGAGAGGCCTGTGCGTGTAAAACCTTTTTAGAGCCCTTAAAACCCGAAGCCATCAACCAAAAACCCTAAAATCTGACTTAGTCTTTGCAGACAGACAGGCAGTCAGGCCTGCAGATTTAGGAAAGTGTGAGGCAGGCTTCGGACAGCCACGCTTACAGACCGAGCTGCAGACAGACCGTCGCAGCTGAGAAAAGACCGACAGCTGTCAACCAGGGAGGCTCACCCTAAACCCTCAACCTGTACCCTAACCCCCCTAATTCAGAATAGGTTTTAAAGGGCAGGGATGATTTCGGGAGGATTCGCCCCAATGTGTTTTTACTATTCAGGGGTTTGTGTAATACAAAGGGGAAGTGATTAGTTAACTTACGATCACAGCTGCCACACTGCCCCCACTGCGCAGGCTAAATCCCGTCTTTCTTTGCAAGCTTGAGACGGATGCTTCACGGAGACCATGTTCACAGTGACTATCCTATGCCCAGTATTGATTCAGTTTGAACAGCTTGCGCGGATAGTGGAAGCCGTCTCGGCGAAAGATCCTTGAGCCAGCGCGCTGCGAAGCATTTGCTGACCGTACCTGCGCCCAGAGCTCAAACTCCTAATAACTAAGGCAAGAACAAACAAAGTCTCATCGAAGATTTGGGGCGCGTCTCAATCTTTGTAAGAGCTAAGGGCACTCCTGACAGCCACAGTACACAGGGTATGCAGGGTCACGAGAGTGAGCTGTGAGCAGGAGCGCAGGACCAGGAACTCGGCCAGAAGCCAAGTGTTGCCCAGCTTTCTGGGTGAAGACAGCCAGCGCGGGCAGCTACAACATAGAGAACTGGCAGGCCAGTTGGCGGGCCGCGTTGGTCAGTGCCTCAGTCTTCTCCAGGAGCTGGTATTTCGTGCAGGCTTGGATTGAATTGTCCGATTGCACATGACCTAAAACCGGCACCGCCGTCGACCCAGCCCATGCAACGACAAGGGCGGGCTGTTTTCGTCCATGCATGCCAGCATTGGTCACTGCGCAACAGCCTGTGTTGCATGCATGGATGCGGCGGGCTTTCCGCAACTGGGTTAAGTTAGTGGCCCTACTTCGTGCATGCGAAGCTTGTTAGTGGTACGTAGTGTGCACAATGCACAAAGACCATAGGTTAAATGCTCTCAGTCGATCTAACTTTCCTGATGCCCTTTCTTGGTGATTTTGTCGACGCTCGATAGTGTTACCAAAATGTCCGGGCTTGCGCTACAACCTTGCAAGATTCTCTCCAACATCCTACCGAACCGGCCGCAGACCACAGCTGTGGTTGCACAGGCGCGTCACGCCTCGGGTGCCCGATCCTGAGGAGCCCCTGCCGCCACAGCTCTGTATATCGTATGCCCTTAGTCTTTTGGGAGGTGTCAACAGATTCGCTCACTGCATTCGCCTGCAGATGCTGAGGCCGAGAACCTTCGAGTCCGTGATTCGATCGGGTGAGAGCTCAAGGCTATTAGGCGAGGGGCAACTTTTGCGCTGCGGAATCAGCGGCAATGCCGCACTTGGGGGAGGTGAGGTACTCGCGAGAAGGCTTCAAAGTTTAGGGTTTTCTGTGGCGCTCTGCCCTAACGAAGCTAGCTCTTCTACATCTGACCTATCTGAAGGCCCAAAGCACGACTCCTTTAAGGAGAAAGTGCAACAAGTGTTAGAGCAGGCGGGGTGGAAGCTTGCAACTCGTCGTGTGAGTGCGTTGGCCTGCTCTCTGTCGCGAACTGGTCTCGGACAAGTGCAGCCTCAAATTACGAGCTACTGCTGAAAGGACAAGAGCATCCGACAAGAGGACGACGGCACGGTGCAACAATGCTAAGCAGGACGGTCGCTGTCGCAGTGGGTTGCAGACACTTCACCTGCCAGGAGCTCGAGCGAAAGACGGACGGCATGCTCAAAAGGCGGTTGAACGAGGAAGCGATGCTGAGGGTTTGCAAGCACAGGCGACAGGCGGAGCTGTTCGCAGTATGGCACACGTTGCCTGTTGCCCCCACAACGGAAGCGGCGAAGGCATTGAATTCTCAAACCCGAAGGAACCCGGAAGCTGCTAGCCAAGTGCGCATGCAACTCTTTGGAAGCAGCGTGCCGTCAGATTGCCGGAAAGCACTTGTGAGGGTGACATTGTGATGGGCATCACAGCATGAAGTGGCCCAGTGCCTTTGCCATAACTCTTGATCGCTCGGCTGGCTTGGTAAAGCGGGTAAGGACGTCCAAAAATGACTTCGGCATTTTTCTAGCACCCCCCCTATTAAGCTTTGGTGGCTGTCTTGAGCCAATGCCACCGCATCCTGCTACGGGACAACTTCAACGCCCTCTCGCCACACCATGTTTTTCTTTCCTGCTGTCGGCCGAGCAGGTTCGAATGTAGCAGGAGGAGGGCGTGTTCTGGACAGTGCACCTTGTTTTGAGTCGAATGCAGGAGCGGATGCGCAGGCCCTGACCTGAGAGAACAGACCAAAGACCAGGCTAGCCAAAAGCCCCGCAATCATCGTTCATGAGATCCGTCGTGTGCGCCTGCATTGAAGTTTGCTTACCCTATGTCAGGCCGAAGCATGCAAACGGTCAATCATGACTCTTCTTGCTAACGCTGAATGTACGTGAATTCAATCCATGCTCCCCGCGAGCTGAATCACTGAGGGCCAACTTCATGACCCGAACCCGGGCCAAGCCAAAGACGTTCTCTGACGACGGAACCTGAGCATCCAGTTTCTCAAGGGTGGTGCTGCTATGTCCTGCTTATGTCATCTGTGTCTACAGCGTAGGACCTAGGATGTCCACACACTCCTCCGGATGTCATCGCAAGGTGCCTCTGCTCGGTACCTCCGAAGCCGCGGTCTGTGCTGCGATGTTGGCCATGAGACTTGCATCTTGAAAATCCTACAGTTGCCAGGTTTCCTGGTACATGAAGCATGGCGCCTCCACGGATGGCCACTAGCAGTGCAGGGCTGGAACCTCAGACGACCAGACCAGCCCCTGAACCACACGATTGCTCACGGGCCGCTCCCAGGTGGGTTGGTCGCGCACGGTTCACGCCATTGATGATACGCCGATCTGCAGAGTCTCACACCATGTTTCTGCATGGACAATCTCCCGGAAGCGGTCAGTCTGTTGTCAACATACATAGGTGCCGAAGCTTTCAACTCACATGCTCGCTGTGTCATAGACACAGTTTCAGCTGTAGCAGTCCGTGCCAAAAAAACGCTTGCCACGAGGAACCTAGACGGAGGGTGGAGGGTGATCTGGAGTCACTTCTTGACATTTGCTATTGCTTGCCAACTCCTGGAAGTATTTTGACGGGGGGGCGTGATGTTGTCTGAGTTTGCCCCTTTCATCTCGCAATCACGGTGTAGTTCTGTTCGCCGAAAGTTTCTCGTCGCTTGATCCGTGCATTGCCCGGTGCAGTAGTTTGAGCGATGCAACTCTTATGGTGCATGGAAGGTGATACTGCTCCATGCCTTTGACATAGCTGCATAGCTGTTTCATGTCTCGTCTCTCGGCAAGGCAAGGTTCTTTGGGACAAAGTTTCTGTTTACAGTCTCGAACGCACCCCCTAAGTTGGAGCTTAAATTGTCAAGTGCTCGCACGAGAGTCATCTTCTTAGGCCTAGCCATGGCTCTACGTGTCCGTGTGATCTCGCAGCAACTGTGCCCACAGCCAGCGGCGAGCAAATCTCTTGAAGAGATCGTCTCAGCAGCTCTCGAAGATGCGGGAAAGTACACAGCGGATTTGGACGAGCTGAAAGCCGGCGGAAAGATGCCAGGCAGCACGTACTATGATTTCATGCAGGCTACAAATCACCTTCTGCTGGTCACTGCAAAAAGAGACTTGGTGCCACTGCTGCACGCTTCCGAGCAAGAAGGCCACTTGGTCCTTACTTACATATTGGGATTGAAGTGTGCACATTCCGTTGCTGACTTTTTGTTGGCTTTGTTTTGTTCGTCATCAGCCTGTCATGTTGCAAGAGCAGCTGCACAACGAACACTGTCGACACAGCCATATGCCTGAACATTATGGTCTGTGTGGCATTGGATATCTTTTAATCCTGCTATTGATGCATGCTTGCGCTGCGCATGATTATGTCGTTCCGTGACCCGCCTGTTTGGTTTTCTGTGCCCGGCCCAGCCAGTGTGAAATACATAAGGGGTCTTATGACTCCCTGCGCCCCCTACTGAATGGTGCCAGTGGTGGCCCTCTCACTCACTGTGCTGATGAATCTATTGTGGGTGTGCGGGATAGCGGTGGCGGTGGTGCCCAGCCGCATGACAGCAGACACATTTAAGATGCGACCCATGCTGCACAAATGTCCGATAGAAACCGACAAGTGACACGGCGCTTTATCTGTGCTGCATTTATGAGACTGGAAATCTACTCAGGCGGCCTGGCATTGACCAAAGTATTGCCCGGGCCGTGGGACGAAGCCCACAGCATATCAGAGAAGGCTGGGCTGCTGCAGGCAGTGCAGAAAGCCTTTGCAGAGGGCAGCAACGTGCAGCAGATTGCAGCCTGGCAGCAGAAGTTTGGCAAACGTGGCCTCAGCAGCAACTTGGCCGTACCACAGGTGGTAAACCGAGGGTCGGGCAGCCAGATCGTCACCCGTGTTGACACCCGGGTCATCGTTGCTGACCCGGACGATGCGGCCAGGCTTTCACGCATACATGTGCAGAAGGACGGACAGTTTGAGGCTGCATTGATGTCGAGCGTGATATCCACAACAGACAACACGGAGTGGAGAGCTCAACGGAAGCACTTGACAGAAGCATTCTTACCTTTGTCTTCCTTGGCTCAGATCATGCCAGTATCCTTCGCTCGAGCTGCCAGCTGTGCTGAAAGACTGATGTCTGCAGCCACAGGCGGCACGCCAGTAGACATGAGCGATTTCAAACTGCACGAGGCACAAGCCCAGTTGCAGCTGGCTTTGCTCGGATTGCCAGAGGATCTCATGAACAGCGTGAATGCTGAGATGCGTTCTGCATTTCACGGAAACCCAGGCAGCAACAGGAAGAATGCGCTTGCAGACGCCATGTCCAAGATAATAGCCAGCCTCGAGAATCAGAAGCAAGACCTGACACTTCCGAGCTCAGGGTGTCCAGTGAAAGGCCCGTTGTCGAAAGTTTTGAACACAGCCGAGCTTCCGCCTGCGAGCTTCTATGGCAACTTGCTGCTGATCCTATTTGCCGGACATGACACGACCGGACACACTATGACCTGGCTCTTGTTTGAACTTGCTCGCAATCCGCTCATTCAGAGTTCCGTGCAGGCTGAAGTTGACGACTTCTTTAGAGGACTGGATGGACGAGACCCCAATTACCAAGACCTCAGCCGACTTCCACTCTTGGATAGATGCATTACTGAAACTTTGCGCCTTTGGCCGGCTGTTGCCAATGGAACATTTCGCCGACTTCAGTTTGCAGATACAGTGAAAGGCGCAGATGGAAGGGAGGTGCATCTGCCCAAAGGAACACTGATCAACATTGTGAATTGGTCGAGACACAGGAACCCGGAGATTTGGGGGCAGGATGCCAATGACTTCAACCCATATCGAAACTTCGAGGCTTCTGAAGTAGCTCACGTAGGCTGCCCCATGGCTGCTGTGAACCCGCAGTCCCCGCGCTTTTCGCCCTTTGCACACTCGCCTCGCAGCTGTTTGGGACGAAACTTTGCACAAATGGAATTGCGAGTGATCATGCAGCTTGGTCTGCAGTGAACAAATATTTCCTTGTTTCTTAATGGCGTGATGCCGTTTGATGAGCCCGCTGTTTCCCCATCCTGCAGGCTGAATCTGCTCCGGAGTTTCAGTTTCAGCCTTGCGCCGCCCTACGATGCGCTCTATTCGTCTAAGATCAGCACGACGGATCTCAGCACCTTTCATGGTGTAAACCGCTTCACAATGGGCCCGCTTGATCTGGAGCGCCAAGGTTGGGGCGAGCGGTTCATGTCCGGTAGCAGCTGGCACCGGTCGGCTAAGATGTGTTAGCAGAAAAGAAAATCCAAGGCTTCAACATCGGGCTATTTAACCACGTCGCCCTGACAGGTAGCACCGTGTGGGGCAAAAGGCCTCTCATCGGACTCAAGATGATCATCACTCACCGGCAGAATCCAGGCGGGCCTTGATGATTTTGGCATCGCCGGACGCATATGGACGCGTTTCGAGGAAGCATCGTTTGGTTCCTATGTGGTTTCGTGTGTTGTCAGCCGCTTCAGAGCGACGGCATTCCATGGCCTGTTCTGCATGACTCTTGCTCTTGCTGCGGCCTTGCTGACACTTGCCACATCCACGTATGTCCACGCGTATGCACTGAATCAGGCATATCCGTTGATGCTAGCTAGTGTCTCTTTCTTGAAACTTTGCGTGAGCGAAGCCCATGATCACACAATTGAGCTTAAAAGGAGCGGATGTCCGAGAGTCTGAGACTAATGTAGACAAACATGTCGCAGTGGATTTGCAGGTATGGGTTTGCGGCTTCGCTGCAGAAGGAATCATGTATCTACGAAACTTAAGAGGGGTGCCTGCTTGTCAGAAGGGCATCCATGCTTCCTTGCAGCCATGGGGAAGCATCCCGATTTCTACACGATCCTAGAGATCAGCAAGGAGCTCTTTTGCAAGGGGGGTGTGTTGAGCGAACATCCATCAGCATATGAGTGGGGAGCAGTAATTTGAGACGCCGAAAGATTGTCATGCCAGCCATTGTTGGAAGCAGATAGCATGCTCTCCGCTGCATGTGCGTCATTCGCATGAAACCTGTCGTCGTAAGGTGCCTTTTGCTACAACTGCTGATGAAGTAGGATGCTGTTCTTGCAGGATGCAAGCGTGGAAGAGATTCGCAAGGCAGCTTGGCCAACACTCTTGAGCAATCTTGAGCACGAGTATCCCGACCACGAGACGAGTGGAATCCATGGAAGGCATACTTGCGAGCAGCCTTGCGATGGCATCCAGATAAGAATCCGGAGGAGAAAGACTTCGCCGTACTTTGGCACATCAGCTAATCGAAAGCTCGAGCTTCCAACCTAGCTTTGTCCAATGTGAGCATCTGCTTATAACCCCACAGCATGATTTGCCACGCCCGCGAGCCACTGCCAGTTCTGTTTGCATGTGTTGAACGACTCAGCCTGCAGCGATCAGCCGGCGACCAAGCTGAGGAGACAATGTTCAAAAGAGTGGCCCAGGCATACAAGGCGGCAGATTCCACGAGGATTCATGAGGCTAGTACGAGCAGTTGACTTGTAGCTGCTCCATAACCGAGACTCGGGCATCGGTTCACAGACCATAATGAGAATGGAAGCAGTGGATGGACGCTACTTGTCCTCGACTTGCATTTTCCATCTCTGAGCAGGTGCTGAGCGATGACCTTCTGCGTTCTCGCTATAATACCTCTGGAGAGGGCGGTCTTGGACATGATTGGTGGCCTGATGATCCTGAAGCAAGAACCTTGTTCAGAAGTTACGAACAGCGCAAACCATTGGGATCATGTTGTTTTTTTCTAAGTTTCTTGAGTCGCGGGTGGTCAGTCAGAGCCGTCTTACTCCGACAGGTCGGGACATGGCCTACCAATTCTTCATCCACCGCGTTCCTGGTAAATCCCTGATCGAAGGCTTCAGTGAGGCCAGCAAGACAGGTTTCGTAGGTCCCACGTCCCACAACCAGCCCATATTGCGACGAGGCCAAGCTTCGAGAGATCTTCCCACACCTTTTCGGCTGGGAGCTGAGTCTGCAGCAGATCTGAATTCATCAATATCTTCTGTTGGCAGGACATGGCCGAGTGATGAACAACACCAGGACACACCAGCGCAGCCCGTTGTGACACAAGCAAGTTCTGAGTGATCCGACAGCACCTGTACCTTCCGAGAACGAAAAACTGTTGTTCACCAAAGCCAACGCTGTATTCAAGTCTGAAACTCAACCTGACCTGAACCTCGCAACACCGGATACGTTGGTTGCAGTGTAACCACGAAACGATCATTTGGTAGTTATTCATACATACATATGTACACACACGCATCGGCATGTGCATGTCCAATCGCATGGTTCTACCCATCATTTTCTGAGGCTTTCGACCGTGTATTTCTGTATTCGGAATATCAGGGCTCACGAGCGCTCACGCTTTCTCGCTCCCGGTTTTCTCTTTGTTGTCCTCACAGGTGCCATGTGGGAATATGATAGGGTTTTGGGTTTCGGAAGTGATGTCCGCGCAGCTCGACACAACAGCTGCCGGAAAAAAAGACAGAAGATTGGAAGCGTTGAGGGCGCAAGGGCGAGAGCCACCGAATCCCATGTGAAACAACCCGATAATATCATGATCGATGGCTACACCATCACTCAAATCACCACAGAGGACAATTATGCAGCAGGCAAACCGACACAACTTTCGCAGCGGTTTCGCTGATGACAGTTGAACACTTCATCCCCACCACCAACCTCGTATATAACAAAATCTACTATTTAGTTTCACCACCGATAGAAGCACCGCCCCGTTTCTGGTTCCCGGCAACCCATCCACATCGTCGGCAAACTCATCGCAAAAGCCGAAACCACTGAAAGATCGCGATACGTAATTCTTTTGGATTGGGAGAAGGCTCAAGGCAAGATACACCCGATTGACAACCCAATTGCAGCAACAACAATTCATGAATTATTATTCTATAGCCAAACGGAGATGCTGGCACACTGGCATATGATAGGGATAACTAATTTCATTTTATTTATTCCGTATAATTACTCCACGGGATATAAATATACGACTTTGATTTAGGACACATAGCAAAATATAATTGATTTATTATTTATTGATCTTGAAAAATAATATAAATAAATATTAATATCGAAAATGAATAAACATTGATTCTTTTAATATTGGCTGTCAAATAAATTATTTCTTATTCTCAAAATAGATATGAGAAAAAAATATGATTCGAAACAACTACGATAGATAGATATGAAGGACATTTAGGAGCTCTGTGATTTAATTTTGAATATCTTATTATATGAATATATACGGATTTTTCATAAATATGACATGTGATTCGATTTATCTATACTAGGTATGTTTTTTATTTTCTCTTATAATAGACAAAGAAAATTTTTGTTCGATTCTTATATGGATTACGTTTTTTCTTTCTGTGATAAATTCTTGTTGGATTTGCTAATATATATTTATATATAGCTATAGATTTTATGTATTATTTTCGAAAAATATAGGAATTAATTGAATTAACAGAAATTTATCGGAGAGTTTTGAATATGAATTATAATTATGGCGGGATTTTTTTTTATCTAATTATTTTGGAAGAAAATACAAGATTTTTTCTTGGGATCGACAAATTGAGATATTATGAATAGAAATAAAGATGAAATAGATTTATATATTATTTCATTTTTTGAGAAGAAAATTAGATGAGATAAATTTTACAAAAAACTATGAGATCGAAGGTATAAGATATTCTTAAATTTTAAAAGCCTAAATCTTGAATCCTCGACTACGCGGGACCCCGAATCCAAAAAATATTATTAAAAGATAGATTCGAAAAGAGGAAGATTAAGAGATCTCTCTGAATGATATTTGGAGTTTTCATTTTAAAAGAAGATTTCTGACCTGAAAATTAAAAATTATAAAATTTATAAAATGAAATTCCAAATAAGAAAATTATAATTTCTATGAATAAGATTCGGACTAGATAATAAAACAATATATCTTGAAATATATTTCTTCGGAAATCTTCAATAATCGGAAGAATTATTTCAAGCGTTTTTTTTTTTAGAATTGCTCTCTTAGATAACTTCGCTAGATTCTAATTTCTGTCGAGGACGGACAACAATAATTATAAGAAATCTTTTCTTAAAATAAAGGTTCCAAATGTCATTTAGAGAGATCTCTCGATCTTCCTCTTTTCGAATCTATCTTTTGATAGTATTTTTGGGTTTGGGGTCCCGCGTGGTCGAAGGTTTAAGGTTTTAGGATTTGGACACGTTATACTCCCTCTTTTTATTATATGAGCCTAAATTGCACGACTCCCCGAAAATCTTCAATAATTTTGAATTTGCCAGAGAAATGTATCATTATTTCAATCAAAGACGGAAATGATTTATTTCAAAGACGGATATGATCTGATTCATCATAAAAAGGGAATAATTCTAAAGGCAAATGGGCATATAAATTTCACGAATGAGAGTCCGCTGGGCTTGTCGGAAATATCCGGGCCAATCCCGAAGATTCCAGAGTTGTAAGTCTTTGTCATAGGAAGATTTGGTTTGGAGATTGATTAACGAGCAGGGCAGAAATTTCTCAAGATGAAATTCTATAATCACGAAGATCATATTAATAAAGATATTATTGGAAGTCATGAGAACGAACGAGATAAATTCAGAAATTTCAATACGGTCATTCGTTCAGAAGAAAGGATTATTTAATATGAGATAGAAGTCAATTCCGAATTAGCGATTCGATATTATTAAATATGAATATCAAAAATGAGAGAAGATTAGAAGAATATAATAATCGATTTATGATCTGGAGCCTTCTATAATATATTAATCGGAATATATTATATTGAGATAGTTCCAATATTGATATAGAAATATATTATTTCATTCTAAATTCTAGTATATTGAAATAATTGAAATTATATTGTGACGATATAAGCAATATTTATCTTCGGGAATCTCTCTTTGTCCAGGTCTATTATATATATTTGGATCAGACGAATCATCGATTATTATTCTTGTTCTTTATATAGATATCTTATAGAGGGACTCCTTTATAGATAAAATGAATATTATAGAAAAGATCCTGATAAATATCGATATGAAAAGATTAAAGATCGAAATTTGGATTTCTATAGATAGAGATTAAGAAAAATCGAAGATTATATAATATAAAGAAACTTCGAAAGATCGTTATTCCAATAGAATAAAAATTATCGATCGGATCCCGAATCTGAGATATTAAATCTCAGAAGTGAAGTGAAGATCCTACTATGGACTAATTGTCTTTATTAGAGCCGCAATTATAATAAGATTCGTCGACCTCCTTGAGACCAACAGAGGGGACGAGTCCATACAAGCTGATCAAGAGAGATCATTATTCTATCTAATAGATCCTCTGGGCTGATATGATATCAATATTCTAATATTCATAGATATTTTCTTTGCTCAGGAATCCGATTTTAGAAATTAGCAGGGCAGATTATATTATTTGATATCGAAGAGCAAGATAATTATATGATTCGTAGATTGAATTATGATTTAATCATCATCAAATATATTTGTAGGAGAATCAAGATATCGGAAATATATATAATATAAATATCAATCGAGAATAGAGATAGATTGTATACTATTATTTATGAGTTACGCGGGTAATTGTCGAGCCTGAAAGGATGGTGCGAAGAATCCCAGAAGTCAATGGTCCATATATTTAGATGATCGACCAGAATTCTAAATGATTATTTCCATAGTCAAGAACAGATCAATAAAATAATCGATCGAAGAATCTTGATTGATTGAGATTATAGATGAAATATCAAATAAGAGAAAGAGCAAAATTTAGTATCGCTATTCATTATCTTCATAGATATAAGCTTCATTTCAATTTTTCAAAATCATGGAGAAGAATTCGTTCAATTATCTGTCCCGACTAAGAAATTATCGAAAGCCGAAACCATCGCACTCCACTAATGACGCAAATGAGACGAGTCGCGCATCATTTTATATAATACTATTATACAATCGACGTCTTGGAATAATGAGCTCGTAAATATCGGAAATAACAATCTAATAGATCATCCTATATAGAATAGAATACGATTTCATTCCTATGTTCTAGAATACAGATAAGTCCCAATATATATATATATCTCTTCGGATCTTATATATATATATATATCTTGAATATATGCCTTCTTTCGCATGATGAAATACTGATGATAATAGAATATATATATAATATAAAATAACGAGATGATCATCGAAGGCTCCTTGATTCAAAAGAACAAAAAATAGTGTACAGAGCGCCATTGTACTGAAATAGACGACAAAAAATCTCTCATTATATTAAATTAAATATACGATTCAAAATATAATTTTATGGGTTTCTTAGGAATGGATATTTTGTGGATTCCGCATCTTCGGATTTATTTGAGATCCTCGGAGAGATTTGTGCCCGTTATCCGAATTCCTCTGAATATCTGAATGAATATATATAGATCTTCGGAAGATCGCCCATTTCTGATTTTTCTCATCTTGGATATCTGAAGACGTATAGATACTATCGTTGAGACTATAAATGACAGCATTATAGAATATATTTACCTTGATTTGGAATTATCTTAAATCAGATCTTCTGTTTTAGATTCCGCGAATGATCGGACGGAATTTGATGATCATGAAACTCGCTAGGTCAATTACACAATTCATATAAAAATAGAGATCTGAATCTTTGACCTGTTGATAATATATAGACGAGATCGAAAATATATTATAATATCCTAGGGGAATGAGAAATCTGGACGAAGAAATTTCAATTATAGATCCTATTTTGGAACCTATTCGATCCTAGGAGTCCTAAATTGGATTATTCTGAAGAATAATTTCTTCGACCAGTTGAAATCTGAATCTATATCTATATATATATATTCCAATAGAAAGAATTTCATATATAGATTCGAGAATGATTCGAATTTTTTCAATAATTATTGCGACAAGTTTGACTCTCTTATTCGAGATCATCTAATGACTTTAGATATACTCTTAATTTTTATTGAATTAAATATTGCAATATATAGAGATTTTTCGTGAAAGAATCTCAAT